TATATATATATATATATATATATATATATATATATATATATATATATATATATATATATATATATATATATATAGTTAATACAATGCTAAACAAAAATCTGCACACCAGTCAAGCCATAAGACTTGCTTTTCCCACAGAAATCCCAAATCAGCAGTGATGTTACAACCGCAAAGGATTCTGGGTGGGCATATGCAAATTAGTTTAACAAAGAATCACATTTTTGCCTCATTCCATTTTAAACATGGATTCCTTTTAATTTGTATTTGCAGTATACAACTGCTTGGAACACAATTTAGGATAAGATGCAAAACCAGTGAACCACTCATGGACAGCTGTTTCGTTGTTAATGCAACTTTTCAGCATGAGGTTGGTTACTGGTTTGCTTAGTGAGGCTTGGTAGTGCTTGGGAAGCAAAATCCAAATAGGTTATGGTGGGGAAAAATTGTGATTGAAAACCCCTTCCACCTGAAGTATGTGGATAGTTAATACAATGCTAAACTAAAATCTGCACACCAGTCAAGCCATAATACTTGCTTTTCCCACAGAAATCCCAAATCAGCAGTGATGTTACAACCGCAAAGGATTCTGGGTGGGCATATGCAAATTAGTTTAACAAAGAATCACATTTTTGCCTCATTCCATTTTAAACATGGATTCCTTTTAATTTGTGTTTGCAGTATACAACTGCTTGGAACACAATTTAGGATAAGATGCAAAACCAGTGAACCACTCATGGACAGCTGTTTCGTTGTTAATGCAACTCTTCAGCATGAGGTTGGTTACTGGTTTGCTTAGTGAGGCTTGGTAGTGCTTGGGAAGCAAAATCCAAAATTTGCATATGCCCACCCAGAATCCTTTGCGGTTGTAACATCACTGCTGATTTGGGATTTCTGTGGGAAAAGCAAGTCTTATGGCTTGACTGGTGTGCAGATTTTTGTTTAGCATTGTATTAACTATCCACATACTTCAGGTGGAAGGGGTTTTCAATCACAATTTTTCCCCACCATAACCTATTTGGATCTATATAACAAAACACATTTTCTCTAAATAATGTTCTCCTTTCTTCTGTTTCCCTTTTACACTAACTTTTCTCATTACTAAAATACCTCTATCCTTCTGCTCACCTGTCCCTGGCAACACCATCTTCATTACTTCCACTTTACTCCCCTCCCCTCTCTATTCATCCCATGCACTCTACATATACCTTTCCAGCCTATCTCAAATCCTCCACTTCCTTTATATTCTTCTGCTCCTAGCAGCTGGTGATGTTTTTCCAAACCCCAGTACCATCTCTGTAAACCCTCCATGTACTAACTCAAGGAACCACATGTGTATTGCATCTGTGTGTCTGGATGTGTTGTGTATCTATATGTGTGTCATCTGTGTGTCTGTACATCTGTATGTGTGTCGTCTGTGGTGTCTTTACATCTGTATCTGTGTCATTGTATCTGTACATCTGTATGTGTGTCTTGTCTGTACATCTGTATGTGTGTCATTGTATCTGTAAATCTGTGTGTCAGTTTGTGTATCTGTACAGCTGTGTCTTTCTATATCTGTATCTGTGTCATTTCTATATCTGTACATCTGTATGTGTCAAAGTGACACAGATGTACACACAGTGACACAGATGTACAAACAATGACACACGTACAGATACACAAACTGACAGATGTACAGATACAAAACAATGACACACAGATACACAAATTGACACAGATGTACAGATACAAACAATGATACATATACAGATGTAAAGATACACAAATAATGACACACGTACAGATGTACAGATACGCAAACTGACACACATACAGATATAAAGATACACAAACGGACACATATACAGATGTACAGATACGCAACCTGACACACATACAGATGTACAGATACAGTGTATGTATCTGGACATCTGTGTGTGTCAGTTTTTGTTTCTGTACATCTGTGTATTGCATCTGTATGTGTGTCAATTTGTGTCATTGTTTGTGTACCTGTACATCCCTTTATGTATCTGTCTGTACTTCTTTATATGTGTTATTGTTTGTATCTGTGTATCAGTATTTGTATTATTGTTTGTGTATCTGTACATCTGCATGTGTCAGTGTGTATGTGTATCTGTGTTTTCATGTGTGTTAATATTTTGTGTCTCTACATGTGTCATTGTGTGTGTCTGTACATCTGTATGTGTCCCTGAATGTTTATCATTGTGTTTGTGCATCTGTATGTCAGTGTTTATGTATCTGCATTTGTCATTTTAATGTGTGTTGGTTTGTCTATCCGTGTGTCTGTGTATTCCATCTGTGTATCGGTACACCTGTATGTGTGTAAATGTTTATATATGTGTACATCTGTGTGTTAGTTTATGTCTCTGTACATTTGTATGTTTGTGTATTGCATCTGTGTGTCTGTACATCTGTATGTGTGCCATTGTGTTTGTGTATCTGTACAGCTGTGTCTTGTTCTATATCTGTATGTGTGTCATTGTTTGTATCTGTACATCTGGGTGTCACTTTGACACACATACAGATGTACATATACACAAATGTAGAGATAAAACTAATGACACACATACAGATGTAAAGATACACAAACTGACACATATTCAGATATGCAAACTGACACACACACAGATGTACAGATACACAGTGTGTCTATTTGTACATCTGTGTGCCAGATTTTCTTTCTGTACATCTGTACCTGTGTCAGTTTGTGTACCTGTATGTGTCATTGTTTGTATCGGAGTGTCGTTTTGACACACATACAGATGTACAGATACAATGACACACATACATTATCATTGTTTTGTATCTGTACATCTGTCAGTTTGTGTATCTGTACGTGTGTCATTGTTTGTACATCTGTGTCACTTTGACACATACAGATGTACAGATACAGATATAGAAATGAGACAGATACAGATATAGAAAGACACAGCTGTACAGATACACAAACTGACACAGATGTACAGATACAAACAATGACACACATACTGATACATATTCAGATGTACAGATACGCAAACTAACACACATACATATGTACAGATACACAGTGTGTGTATCTATACATCTGTGTTCCAGCTTTTGTTTCTGTACATCTTTATCTGTGTCAGTTTGTGTACCTGTATGTGTCATTGTTTGTATCTGTACATCTGAGTGTCACTTTGACACACATACAGATGTACAGATACAATGACACACACAGATACAAACAATGACCCACATACAGATGTACAGATACAAACAATGACACACATACAGATGTAAAGATACACATCTGTGTTCCAGTTTTTGTTTCTGTACATCTTTATCTGTGTCAGTTTGTGTACATCTGTATGTGTCATTGTTTGTATCTGTACATCTGTATGTGTGTCAAAGTGACACTCAGATGTACAGATACAAACAATGACGCACATGCAGATGTACAGATACAAACAATGACACACATACAGATGTACAGATACACAAACTGACATATTCAGATGTACAGATACGCAAACTGACACACATACAGATGTACAGATACATCTGTGTTCCTGTTTTTGTTTCTGTACATCTGTATCTGTGTCAGTTTGTGTACCTGTATGTGTTATTGTTTGTATCTGTACATCTGAGTGTCACTTTGACACACATACAGATGTACAGATACAATGACACACATACAGATGTACAGATACAATGACACACATACAGATGTACAGATACAAGCAATGACACACATACAAATGTACAGATACACAAACTGACACAGATGTACAGATACAAACAATGGACACATATTCAGATGTACAGATACAGTGTGTGTATCTATACATCTGTGTTCCAGTTTTTGTTTCTGCACATCTGTATCTGTCAGTTTGTGTACCTGTATGTGTCATTGTTTGTATCTGTACATCTGAGTGTCACTTTGACACACATACAGATACACAAACTGACACAGATGTACAGATACAAACAATGACACACATACAGATGTAAAGATACACAAACTGACACATATTCAGATGTACAGATACGCAAACTGACACACATACAGATGTACAGATACACATCTGTGTTCCAGTTTTTGTTTCTGTACATCTTTATCTGTGTCAGTTTGACACACATACAAACAATGACACATACAGGTACACAAAGTGACACTCAGATGTACAGATACACAAACTGACACACAGACAGATACAAACAATGACATATACAGATTTAAAGATACACAAATAATGACACACATACAGATGTACAAATACGCAAACTGACACACAGATGTACAGATACAGTGTGTGTATCTGTACATCTGTGTGTGTCAGTTTTTGTTTCTGTACCTCTGTATCTGTGTATTGCATATGTATGTGTGTCAATTTGTGTGTGTCTGTGCAGCTGTGTCAGTTTATCGATCTGTGCATTGCATATGTGTGTCTGTATATGTGTATGTTTGTTATTGTATCTGTATATCAATTTGTATATCTGTATGTATGTCTTTCTTTGTATCTGCACATCTCTGTGTGTCAGTTTGTGTATCTGCATATATGTATGTGTCATTGTTTGTATCTATGAGTTTGTGTATCTGTGTATCATTGTTTTTGTATCTGTACATCTGTGTGTGTCACTGTTTGTGTACCTGTGTATCTGTATGTGTGTCATTGTATCTGTACATCTGTGTGTCAGTATTTGTATTATTGTTTGTGTATCTGTACATCTGAATGTGTGTCAATGTTTGTATCTGTGTATATGTGTCAGTATTTTGTGTCTCTACAGGTGTCATTGTGTGTGTCTGTACGTTTATCAGTGTGTTTGTGCATCTGTGTCAGTGTTTTTATCTGTGTGTGTGTGTTTATGTATCTGCATTTGTCAGTGATTGCATCTGTGTTTTTGTGCATGTATGTGTGTGTATCTGCATGTGTATGTCAGTTTGTCTGTGTATTTGTGTGTAATTATTTATATATGTGTACACGTGTGTCAGTTTGTCTCTGTACATTTGTGTATTGCATATTTGTATGTCTGTACATCTGTAGGTGTGTCATTGTTTGTATCTGTACATCTGTGTCACTTTAACACACCTACAGATGTACAGATACAAACAATGACACATATACAGATGTACAGATACACAAATGTAGAGATACAAATAATGACACATTCAGATGTACAGATACAAAAACAATGATACACATACAGATGTGCAGAAACACAAACTCATATAGATACAATGACACACACATACAGATACACAAACTGACACAGATGTACAGATACAATGACACATATACAGATGTACAGATACAAACAATGACACATATACAGATACAAATAATGACACATATACAGATGTAAAGATACACAAACTGACACATATTCAGATGTACAGATACACAAACTGACACAGATACAGATGTACAGAAACAAAAACTGACAGAGATGTACAGATACACACACTGTATCTGTACATCTCTGTCAGTTTTTGTTTCTGTACATCTGTATCTGTGTCAGTTTGTGTATCATTGTTTGTGTATCTGTACATCTGTGTGTTGCATTGTTTGTGTACCTGCACATCTGTGTATGTATCTTTACATCTGTATGTGTGTCATTGTTTGTACCTGTACATCTGAGTGTCAGTTGTGTATCTGTGTGTCTCTACATCTGTATGTGTGTCAGTTTGTGTGTGTCTGTTATTGTTTGTAAATGTACATCTGTGTGTCAGTTTGTGTATCAGTACATCTGAATGTGTGTCAGTTTGTGTATCTGTATCTGCATGTGTCAGTGTGTATATGTGTATCTGTGTTTTCATGTGTGTCTGTACATCCGTGTATGTGTCAGTGTTTTTATCTGTGTGTGTTTATGTATCTGCATATGTGTCAGTATTTGTAAATATGTATGTGTGCCAGTGTTTGCAACTGTGTTTGTGTGTGTTTATGTATCCGTGTTTTAATCTGTGTGTATGTATCTGTGTGTCTGCATGTGTATTGTGTTTGCATCTGTGTATCTGCATGCGTGGCAGTGTTTGTATCTTTGTGTCAATGTGTGCATTTGTGTATCTGTATATGTTTCAGTGTTTGACACATATACAGATGCACAGATACAAACAATGCCACACATGCAGATATACTAACACACATACAGTTGTACAGACACCCTGATATACATACTGACACACTTGCAGATACACAGACACACATTAAAACACAGATGCAATCACTGACACACACACATGCAGATACATAAAACACAAATACAAACACTGACACATACATGTTTGTGCATCTGTATCTGTGAGTGTGTCAGTGTCTGTATGTGTGCAAGTGTGTGTATATGTGTCTATCTGTATTGGGAGAAACAAAAGGATCCTGGTGTAGAGAAAAACATGTAAACTTGAAATAACAGCAACTATATTAATAACAAACATTTTACTAAAATGAGGGGTACAATTTATGGAAATTGGCTGCTATGGGGTACTCAGGTTAAAAAAAAAAAAAGGTTGTGAACCACTGTTCTAGAGGATCTTAAAGGAATACTACAGCATTAGGAATACAAATCTGGGTAAGGCAAGGGTAGTAGGCGTAGGAGAAATACTGAGATAAAGGAGTCCCTACTTTTTTCTCAGTGTATCTTTTGAATGTGTTAGAATGTCAGTGAACTTCCAACACAAAGAATATATGTTTTGTTTATAAAGATACTGTACTCAGACTGTTAATCTATGAACATGTTTGTTTCAGCCCTTTATTAAACTTTGCACGACTGAAATTTGCTGGATTATTGTAAAAAATCCTATTGCAAATGTATGGCTAGTAAAAGATTCCTGTGTTTAAAATAATGCCCGATAACTCTGTGCCCCAGTGTTTGAATGTTGAATTTGGATCGTGGAGTTCCATGGATGACAGCGGAACACTGTGCTTATGCATTTTAATATCCTACATATCTCCTTACATTTTATCTACTTTCATGTTGATACAAAAATTATATACTGAAAATATGGTGGTGTCATGAAATTTGTTTTTACAGTAACTAGCATACGTAGTACATCATACAGAAAGAGGAATTGTGCTCTTTAAATGCTATATTTGTTCTGGAAAGTGTAAATGGACAAACAACATTGCCATGCTGTATTCAGCAGTAACACAGCACTGAATTCCTATTGACAGTTCTCTTTGTATTGCACAGAGAGGAAGACAACCACAATAACATAAAACGTTTTTACTTTTCTTTAAGGAACACCATAACCACCTTGGCACCCTCTCTATTTTAATTGTACGATAGTTTTGAACTGTTTTACTTTTTATCTGAAGTCTGCTGGGCGCTGCTCCTTGCCTTCTCTCTGCTTCCTTGAGCCAAGACCAGCAGGGCAGGGCTTTGTTCATTGGCTAGAGAACTTTTAAAGAGGATGCTCAGGCTCCCAAGTGAAGGCATGGGGTGGCAACCAGTGGACCCAAGATAAAAAGGCAAACCATTTGACCACTTAGAATTGAGTGGCAACATAACCAGCACTATATTATGTAGTGGTTATGGTGCTTGGAGTGTTCCTGTGAATTACATGAAAATCTTATAAGGACACTTTAAGCATCCTAACCACTAAGTCCAGTGTAGTGGTTATTGTGCTAGCAGGATACTGGCCCTGGGTCAAATCAGCCTTGAGTGGTTGCAAACAGAGGTTCTCAAATGCGCCTGCTGCCTGGTCCCTTGCTCATCACATTGCTAATTCGGTAGTTCCAATTTTATCTATAAATTGCATTCTTTAGAAATCTAGGTGTAATCTACAAAAAATAATCTGTTCTACACCAGCAAACAGGGCTGGACTTGGACAAAAAGGCAGATAATGCAAATAGAGGGGGCATGATGTGTCATCACCAATGACACTAACACGTCCACAAAGTGGGCATGTCAGTTTGATACCCAACAGGGCAGCCCATACTGAAGAGGTTTTGCATGTGGAATAGGCTGCTGTGTTTATTTAGCGCAGCACAAGCAAATTTAATTAAACACATCTTCTGTTTTCTTGTTATTTGTCTCTGGTATCCCCATAAGTGGAACAACAGAGGACAAAAGATGGACATGGTTAACAGAGGGTACTGTTTGTGTGGAGGGGAGATGCTGCCTGGAGTGTTGTATGTGTTTGGTGGCTGCTGGTGAGGATGCATGTTTAAAGAAGACTACCTGTGATGTTATGAGTATATGGTGAAGCTGCTTGTGTTTGGAATACTACTTGCGTGCTTTGCTTGTGCAATGGATCCAACTTGTGAGCTTGCATGGGGAAGAAGGCTGCTTGTGGGATTGGGGATGTAGTGTATGTGTTATGGGTATATAGGGGAATGGGGCTATCATAAGGGTGCAAACCCCCCTTTAAAATTAGGGTTTTATTTTTTGATAATAGTGATTATATACTCCCCCCCCCCTTCCTCTTCCTCACTATGGATCTAGGAGGAGGGGGATACTGTTCCCTGGTGGTCCAGTGGTTAAAGCATTTGGTCAAAACCTCTGGCAGGTGCAGGCCATGGTAACCTGTTGCAATGCTCTGAAACACTGGTTGGAGCAATTCATATGGTTTCCACCAACCGGAGGTGCAGGGTGCTAGTTTTGTAACCCCCTTTTCATCACAGTGGGCTAGCCGGTCAGGGAGATTTTTGATGTCCCCGCCGGCCATGGAGCTCACTGTCAGGCATCGTCGGCCAGGAGCCAGCCAGTGAGATCATTTGATCTCTTCTAGAAGTCTCAGCCCATCATCATCATGGATCACTGGGCATTTGCCCGGCTTGCTCTATGTCCAGTCTGGGTTTACCAGCAAACCATATTTTTTCACTAGTGTCAGGTAATCTTATTACCAAGGGGATATGGAGTTTGGTGTGTTCCTTTAATACACATTACGCATGTAGAGTAGGACCCTGTATATGTTATTCTGTTACAATGTCCAGATTATTTAATTTAGTAATTACTTACTGAATGGGTTGGAGCTAGGCCTTTTTCCAGGAGGGAAACTGCCACCACTTGTACCTAAAATAAAATAAAACTTGAATTAGTTATAGAGCATACACAGTAGGGGGTGTAGCAAGCATTCTGTCTGATTGCCAGGAGAAACAGCACGGCTGGCTTAAGGTCCATATTACCACTCCATCTGGAGCACCATCTATATATATAAGACTTGAGTATCCTGATCACCTGGGCATAATCCCAAGAGCCCACACATCATGGCAGCTTTCATAATTTCCATACACCTTCATAGTATGTTAGTTTGTTTTTTTTCCCTCTGTGCTGCTCCATGGATAGAATTCTAAATTTAATTTTCTTATCTTGGTGCTATTTGTACTGGACTAATGCAAGGTCCAGAGGTTAGAAACATAGTCAAAGTACAAAGTTAGACAGTAACAAAGTCCTTTACTGAACAAGAGGCGGGTATAGGGATGTACACATGACAATGAAAGGTATAATTAGATGTTAGAAGACTTTTTGCAAATTGATCATTTCGGCAGCGATTTTCAGTTCTCTTCTAATTCACCACCATTCACAGTTTAGCAAATAACCCTGATAAATTCACATGTTTTATTAATTAGCTGCGCTGGGTGAAAAAGGAGGAAAGAGATCTCCCATCCAGTGGCGGATCCAGGGGGGGGGCAACGGGGCAATTGCCCTCCCCGAGAAATCTGACGGTCTCCCTCTCCCCTGCCAGCACATGCAGGTGCCAGCCCTGCAATGTGCCTGTGGACCGGAGGGGAGATCACAGATCTCCCTACCCGGTCCGCAGGCACTGTGCTGACAGCCGGCAGGGGAGGGAGAGGGAGGGAGAGAGGACCCGGGAGCTCAGCGTGCAGCTCCTTCGGGTCCTCCTCTCGCGAGATTTGGAGCGTTGCCGCGGTTACTCTAGCCCTTCACTCTCCCCACTGGGACCACCAGTGATTAGAAATGTCCCCCCTCCCCCCCAGTAAAGGTAAGAAGGGAGGGAGGACATAGAAAGTTATATTAAATTAAATAAAAAAATATATATTATAAAAAAAGCCCCCCTACCCTTATATCACACACACACTCTACAAACACATACTGCCCCCCATACAAACATTCTGCCCCCTAACACACACTGCTCCCCCATACACACATACTGCCCCCATATACATACTGCCCCCCAAACACATACACTACCCAATACACACACACTGCTCACACACTGCCCCCCATACACTGCATCCCTGACATACACTGCCGCCCTCACACACACAACCTTCACACACACACACATACACTATCCAATACACACACACACTGCTCCCCATACACACACACTGCCCCCCATACACTGCATCCCTGACATACACTGCCGCCCTCACACACACTACAACCTTCACACACACACACTGCACCCCTTACACATTGCACCACTCACACACGCCATTGTTCCTATGCCCTACTACTGCCCCATTTCCCAGCAGACCTCAGGTAAGTTGTCAAACTGTTCTTAAACGGTTTGACTACTTACTCTGGGAGGGGGTCCCGGCACTATTGA